TCAAGGACAGGTCAGCGGAGCGCTCCAAGAAGCTCAGAAGCGGGTCAATTTAAGCAATCATTCTTCAGATGATTTTCGCTATGACTGTGAAAGATCCCTTCCCAGTAGCTTCCAATGAGCCTTGGTGGGAATGCAAACGTGACATCACTGGCTCTGATGCCACCTCACCCCCCCCCCCTCTCCCTCAGCTGTCACTAGTCGGCTGTTTTAGAATACTGGGTCCGCAAACAAGACGGGGTTTAACGCTTCCAGATACAACCACTTCCATGCCTTTATTAGCGTCTCCCAACTCCAAGGTATCTGATACAGCTTGTTAGAGGGCTTTCATCTTCGAAGGATCTGAGAATATTACCAGCGTAAGAGCTTCAACTGCACATTGCCATCACAATTCGCAAGGTTGAGGTACTGACTCTCCAGAGAATGGTGAATGAACCTTTGGGAACGATGAAAATAAGGCCCAACTGTTAAGCGAGAATTCGGAAAAATGAGGCACTGCTGCACGTGCGAGAGACCGTGGAATGCATATGGAAGAGCAGGAAGACAAGCTAGAAGACGGATGAGCACCTTCCCCTGTTTCTTGATGCAGTTATCGGAAATCTGTGCTCCTCTCTTGAGCATGTCTTGTTTTTTCACTGTTTATCTCATTACCGATACTAATAAAGTAAAGTAAAGAGAGCACAGGTCACCTACAGGATAAGGATCGCGCCACGGTGCTCATGACGACCGTAGCGCTTCGCCCCTCACCGTAAAAGTGGGACAATCAGCAGAGCAATCCACTCGCGAAAAGAAGAAGTTTGATCGGGTAATCGCCACTGTATTTTTAACATTGACAAGCTAACAAGTATTGAAGGTGCTAAAATAAGAAGTACGTTAGCTGGTTTGTCAAGTGAGTTAGGAACGATTTGCAATTTCTTAGCGGACGCTGGTGTTTTCACAGCATTCCGGTAGGTACGATTTACGCTTTCTTGTGCAACTGAGAACGATTTCCGGGGAGACTGGATGTCTAATTTTTTCGTCATTTCAAGGCACCTTAGTCCTATTTTTTGTTGTTGCAGTGGAACGGTGATTATGATAGCCACCTACCTGACTGATAACCGTAATCATCGCCCGATTAACAGCTTTTGCAATGCGCGACTCAATGAGGTACACCATGTATTCATCAGTGAGTAGTCGAATCAGATGGAATGATCCAAAAGAGCCGGCCGATCGTAACGTTAAATCACGGATCAACATCGAGCTATAAAAGGAACGCTTTTGGTAAAGATTTTTAGGACAGACACATGGACAACTTACGTGTAACAGCTCCAATTCAGCAGGAACTGCTTGCCTATTTCGGAAATGATCTGCACAGGTTTGTCGTGGTACTTGGCCAGAATCTAAAGTGTTCGTAAAATTGCCCTGACAGGAGTAAAAAGTTAAATCTATATCATATTTATAAGATAACATCTATGATGTGACACTGATAAATCACATGATCCCATCATCAATTCGATCCCTATGAGGATTGAAGCGTTTGGCATTGAACTGTGCCCCCCCCTGAAATATGCCAAGCACTCCATTTCACTTAGGAGTCGCAGCACCTTCAATTGCTACTTATTCTCTACAGTTTGACCCCTTCCGATGAAAAGGTACGTATTTTACAATACGGAGGGAGTCCCACACCAACTAATTTAGCTACGAACCGGGTTGGCCCTAACGAGATGGATATACGATTGCACTTCCGCACTGCACACATTAACACCACAATAGCTCCGGCTCCTAGTGATTATACTATGTACGTTAGAACCGTTCAGATAATGGAGTGAAATCAGGAGTTCACCGGAGGTCACTTTACCAGGAGGATGCTCGATCCTTGGGATCATTTCTGGTCAAGTGCCACAAAAGATAAAACGGAATGGCTAATTGAATGCGATTTCGAATATCAAAACTTTCTGGGGACAGCAGATACACAAGTCACTGCTCTTGCCCTCGTGAACGAATATGGTGCCCATGTACCATATCCGGGTGATAAAAGGCATAGTTGGCTTGGCTCTATCATCAAACTGAACCCCCGTGGTAAGCGTGCCACCTTGCCTTACGCCACCTCCATCTCATGTGGAGTGCTATATTGGAGTGCTATGAAGTCTAACGCCGTTGACTAACCCGGTGCGGTACGCATTCTGCTTCCCTTCAGAATGGTAGTGGCTTGTTGGGATGTGGCCTATAGAATGACTCGGTGGGGTCAGCAGATGTATGAGTCAGTGTTTTTATCCTCCCGGACTAATCTGGTAGCGGTTTACCGTCCTCGGAAGGTGCGAGGCTTGGCTGGCCTAGGCGGGTGCCGATCGGGGATTTGAACCCCAGACCGCGAGTGGTAAGCATGCCACTTGCCCCTACGCCATCTCCATCCCAAGCGAAGTGCTATATATCAATTAATCTCTGACATAATGAGTCAGATCTAGCTTTGCCAGTGTCAGCAAAGGTCTCTGTACAACATTCATCACCTCTGTCCTCACCTGGTCCACAATACTTTCAAGCCATTCGGCCCATTCCTCCATGGGCGCCATTTTCTGCAGATTGTCTTTGAAAGCGTTGTGGATATGATGGACCATTAAGGAATCACATCCGCTCACCCAACCTGCTTGCTCTTGTACTTGCTGCATGTCAACTCTAAATGCACGAAATGTTTAGGAATCGAACTGGAAGACAGAGGCTATGAAGGCTACCTGATATAATCGTTGTACATCGCCATGACTTGGTCTGGTTTCTGAAGCACGGCGCGAGCCGCTTGGGCAAGATGGTTCAAGGAGGTGTATCTGAAGTTTTTCTTATATATTAGTGATCCCGATCGGAACATCTGTATGGCATTACCTTCTGAGCCCTTGCGCCATGTACTTTACAGCTTGAAGCTTCTTCTTCTGAATGATTTCGGGAGCCCCTTGCATGGCCTTCTTCAGGTAGTGCTCGGCGTTTTTTGCGAAGTTTCGGCATGACTGGGTTAGAAATGCTGGAAAATTGAGGCTACATTCCGACCCAGACTTGAGATGAATATCTAATTCTTACGCGACATATTGCTCATCAGCACATCGGGCACCAGAATATCAACGATAGTTTGGTAGAAAGCCAGATCTAGACTAACAATCCAGTGCTGAATCTGTGGCAGCGTGCACAGCGAGAAGAGCTGCTGTTGAGAGAGACGCGTTTGACCGAGAGATTTGCTGGAATGTGAAGAAATTGGCTCATCATCCGAGTCTATCAAAAGAACAGTATAAGAAGATGTGTCAACTAACTCTTCATCATCCAAATCGTCCTCAGGTTGCCAGAATGCCGTCCAATATTCTTCTATGTGCTCGAATTGGAGTTGTTTTACGCAGTAGAGAACTTCCTGAACAAAAGCGTTCATATGCTTCTAAAGGGAGCGTTGAATTATTCATCTGAGCTGGACAAGTCAGAGAAGAATCTTTGAGTAAGCGAAACAAAGAACAATTTAGTCTGCCCCCTGAGGGCAGGTAGTGTTACAAAGGTCTACCGACGATTCATTCAATGTTGGCACACAAGAACAGGGCAAGGTTCAGCTGAATGGCGGAGAATATCACGGACATGCCATCATACTCCTGTGGGAGGTTTTGTTCATCACATGTAGGAGATCCAAAGTGGGGCCTTATGCTTTCAGTGTGATATCCCTGTCTAGATGTTTTGAGAGGCCGCCTAATCAAAAGCTAGGCTTACCGAGCAATTGTGATTGTAGGTGTTGACGAACATGACGACATGAGCAAGTTCAAGTCCAAGTTTTGGCAGCGCTTCAATCAGGCCATCGGTTTGCGGCGTTTGAATGAACGGCACCTCTCCGCTGCCGAGAGACAGTAGGTCTACGTCCGATGCTACAAAAAGCATGATCAGTCAAATAGGTAAGCGCTTATTTTCGCAATTTGCTCAGCATTGTGCTCAGAAATGAGGGATAAATGAACTGGTTGTGAACCGTACTGTAACGGTGAAAAATTCTTCAGCTTAGGGTGCGTTCGTATTTTATGACGACGTCGGCGATGTTAACGTAACCGAAGTTTCCGACGTAACCGACGTTTTCGGCGACTAGTTCGCAAAGTTGAAATACGTATTGATCCGACTAACTGGCGGACGTAACTGACGTAACCGACATAATCGGCGACAACCTTCCGAGGAGTGGATAGGTATCGATCCGACGTAACCGACGTGACCGACGTTTACGACTTTAGTCAATACGTAACTAATCTTCTGTTGCCGGTTACGTCGCCTACGTCGACAGGTCGGATCGACGTCGATTACGCCGGATCGATATGCATCTACCCTTTTGTACGTAGTCGCCGAAAACGTCGGATCGATACGTATCCAGTCTTCGGAAAGTTGTTACGAATACGCTGGTTACGTCGACGTCGGCAACGTCGTCGCAAGCTATGAACGCAGCCTTATGCTACATCTTGCAGAAATGCTTGTGCTGAATTCTGCTAGCTCCAGCAAGTATACAAGTATAAATAAGGTGAGTTACTAACCATCGCCTCGAGAATGACCGTTGACAGCTGAAGGAGGTGGCGCATTCGGCGACTGTCGGGGAGCTGGGCTGCTGAAATATTTTTTTCAAAATTCATTTATAACGCTCCTCGCTGTAACGAAGTGCAGAAGAACAGTGTCGCTTCATTTTCACGGGTGGCCTTTTTTGGTTAGACCCATGGACGCCGAAAAAGACGTATTCTGAGCGCAGCTTGGCAGGATAACTTGTATAGCTTGTATTCCTATTTCCTATTTTGTCTGAAACATCTCACAGCGCGTGGTTTGATCTCCTTCCCTCTGGCCAATAATTATGGGATGCATCCAGCTGAGCAGAGAGTTTTGTTCGTTACACGAGCGAGGTGAAAAATTGTGCAGTGCAAGATCTCCATCAAGTAACATACGGTTACGTCCTCATTTGTTTGTTTTTATTACTGTTGTTGCTTTTGTCTTCAAAGAAACCTTAGGCTGTACCCCAAAGCAGCCTGTCAGTTCTGTCCGGAGAAAAATTGGGGTTGGCTGGGGCAACGGTTTGTGATGACCTATGAAGATGTAAAAGATTGTGTGGCAAAGTAGTATGGTCTGCAGTGGAGAACCCTGCACTGGTTTCACTGCCGGATGCTGCGGAGTTGCTCGAGTTAATTCCCTTTTTCCAGTGATTCCGCCTTCGGACTCCATCTTCAGTGCCAGCCTTCCAGCGAAAACGGGCCATTGGACGAAAAGCATGAAGTAGAAGCTTGCGACGATTGTATACTAGCTCTAGTGTTCATTATCATGAATCAGCAGACTGAATTCGTCTCACCACGTGGCCTTCTCGTTCTGTCTTCGTACACTAGCTCGAGGCGAGAGAGGTCCTATCAGGAGCGTTTCCGAAATTTTTTTAGCGTCCTTCTTCACTGACAATCGTCAGGAACTTCTCTTCTATGCTTTAACCTG